AGCCTGAATCGTTATTAGTACTAAGGACATTTTACTATTCCACATTTATCTCCTACAGTCTTTATTCCAAATAGGGTATTATTTTTAGTGTCTCTAGTATTAAACTCTTATACATATACAAATATTAAACAATATTATTGATAATTTATATATACGAAATAACAATTTCTGTTTGAATAGCTTGCTTGTTAATTTAAGATGCAGGTAACAGGAAAAGTAAGGAATTATTGTGGGAATTATATAGTATTTGCCCCGTACCATATTTATAATAATTAAGAAACATATTATACACCCAATAATAATAAAAAAGAATTATGTTGCCAGTTCTTTAGCTGATGTTGGCCTTCTTACACATCAAATCCTTCCTAAGAACCTACAGTGTAGGATATTGTAATATATTGGCATAGTATATGTACAGATCTAACCTTTGTGACTTTTTGTAATTGACAGATGGAAATTTTATTAATGCATAACTTTTCTAAGTGACACCTAAGATTTTTGGATATGGCACCCAGGCATTTTGTGTCATAATATTTCAAATTGCAATTTTCAGATCTTGATTCTCTGTGATCTCCTCCAATTCATTTACTTCTATTTTACTGTCTCCTAGTATTGCCACATCAATTATCCACACTTTTATTATGATTACTTATTACATTTATATATTGCCAGACTCTTGATGACTATTTTGCATACATTTCTAGCCTACCTTCTAATAAAAGTAGTGCTTATATTCATAAAGATATACTATCCAAGTTATAAGTAAGGTATTAAATCTCACCAAACCATATCCAATAAAAACTCAATATGCATCAATAAACTTCTCAACATGCATCAAGTTAGATTTGGCAGCAAAACCTGTCTGTATAAAAATATCTTTGCTGTCAGGAACATAACAGAGATGATTCCTCTTGGCAAGAAGATTCAGAGCCCTGTGAACAACTTGTTGTCCCTGACAAGTGTGTCTTTGGCAGAGGAAACAGCAACAGAGAGTCTCTTCTGATATGCTATCCTATCTTACCCTGCCCTATCCCCCCTAAGCTGCAATGGACTTCAGAGATCAATAACAGTACTTTGAACTGTGCTTAGAAGCAAACTATTGCAATGACACATCATGCTCTGAATAACTGGATCAACAGTCAAACCCCATGATTCTGAACCAGGTATAGTATTGCAAAGCTTTTCAAAGGTGGAAATAGGCCAAACGAATTCAGATGGAGAGTTAAGTTTGCACCTTTGTCAATCTTTTCTTCCAATGGAAATTTAAATGCATTGCAGCCATTCAATTCCTGGATGAGGATCTTAGTGAAGACAAAGAGTAAGGTCCATCTTTCTCCATGGACACCAAACCTAGCTGTAGATTGTGGGAATGGGAAAAATGAATGAGTGGGAAATGTTTAAATATAAAGGATAGATGAAAGTAATATACATGATAAATAATATCCAAATCTATTTTGAATCCCACATCCATTGCTAGCATATGGCGACTGATATATTAACCCCAAGGAAATGTAAATTTTGGTAGACGAGGAAGTCTTTTACTCCCAAGCCTAAATCATTAAACTCATTTAAAAATAACATATTATGGTATTGGAACTTAGTAAGATGGAGTTCAGTTCCTGAGTATTGTATGAAAAAAATATTTCTATTTCAAATCTTCTTACTACTAAAACAAGAAGTGAATAAGACATAAAAGTATCAGGAACACCAGAATTATAGAATAAATTTATAGAAGTTTAGTCTTAGTTGATTAGAATGTGTTTTCAAGTTGGGTAGCCATTTAAGTTGCTAAATACATACATACATACATACATACATACATACATACATATATTATTTGGTCCTACCATGTTTACATACCCTAGATATGATTAAAAAACAAACTACTGAGTAATTTTGAAATAAACAAAAACTTGTCCAGATCAATAAACAAAAATATGGCAAAAGAACACCATATAATCCAACTTTGTTGTGTATTTTCCATTGTCTTCAGCTTGAACTGAGTTGTCTCTTGTTCTTCTGGAATGCACTCCCTCCCTCCTAGGAATCCAGATCAGATTCCATCACATCTATCTGCACATACATTCATCATGTTTCATTTAACAGAACATTCACCGTCCTACAATTGTATATAGATTCTTAGTAGCAGTTTATATTATCAGGTGACTATTTCTTTCTCATAAAATCTGAAACTCCAGTGATTGTAATAAATCACTTGGCTATCTTGTAAAATAAATGTATTTTACTCTAATATATTTGTGCTCTCAAAAAACTTTTGAATTTGTTGCCTTAATTTTTTTTATTTTTATATAACTGGCAATGCATTGTTTTGACTCCAAAACAAATTTCTCATGACAATATAGAATATATTAGGCTGCATTTGTTTTACTAATGAGTAACATAACATATTGTATAATGTTGTATTTAGATTCCAATATTAACTCCAAACATAAACTTTCTTTGACTATTATATTAGTTGCATCAAGTGTTAAACCAAATGGCAAATATATACATTGTTGTGCGTTTTGAATTTTAGAGGGATGATAGGAGGAGATTAAATAAAAGTATTTTCTGTGACCATAATATTATGCTTTAAATGCACATAAAACCTGAAAATTCAGAAACAGTCTGGAATTGGTAAGGTAATGCCATAAAAACTGTTATCGAGGTTTTTATTACTTCAACTGAATTCAATTATTTTTTTCCCAAAATTTTATAACAGTTTCCAAATTTCATTGTTGAACAATGTTTCAACCTTTAATAGTCATGGTGTTCTTAGAGTCACACATTTTTACTTGTAGTTAATTCCCTTCCTGATGTTAATTTCTATTCACATGATCATGAATGATAATTAAATATATTCATTAATACATGTATAATACATTAAATTAAGTATAGCATTATACATGGTGTGGTGAAAATCCCCTGCCTCTCCGACATGTATTAAAAACTAGAATTAATGAAATTGTTTGGAATGAGAATTTGAAATATTAAAGAAAGCATTTGAGTTGAATGCCTTCAAACAATGATTAGACAAATTTATGGGATTATGACTGCTAAAAATAATTATGTTACCATAGAATGTTTGGGTTCACAGCATTATATCACTGGAAAACTCTTTGTCAGGAGTTGAAAAAATGACAATAGAAGGTTGCTGCTAGAGAGATATATTAGTTGGCTTCTGTAAGCCTCTGGTTGTCTGCTTTTAGATAATGAATATTAAATCAAATTGACCTTAATCAAACAGAGATACATGACAAAAGTCCTTGACAAAGGAATTTCCAAAGTTCCTGGGCTTTCACACAATCAAACAGTTTTTGCTTTTTATCATTCTAACTCTCCCCCTCCCATTTTTATCATCTAACACATTAATTACCATTCTCATCAAGAAAAGAATATAGTTTCTTTTCATATTTGAAGTGTTAGTGGAATGCTACATGTACTATTTAGAGGGGGGGGAAGAGTTGCTCAAAAATTATACTGCCTTTGATTTTGTCTTGAGTATAAATTTGCAAAAATCAGACACTGAACCTATTAAAAATTATCCCCAAATGAATGGTTGTATTCAATCCAATTCTTAATGTTCTCACAAACTCTCCTTCCAAAAAGGAGGAGACATGTAGATTCATAGGAGATAAAAAAAAAGTAGGTAAGTGATGCGTGGTCAGTTTTATAGGCTTTATTATGGTAATGAATCTTAAAAGAAAACAGAAATAGATCTTCTAACAAGAAAACTGAATGTATGGAAACACTAACTGATAACATACATTTAAAATCTGATCCAGAAAGCCTAAAAAGGATATATAGATATGCTTCTGTAATTCGCAAGTCAGAATTCAGTTTTTAAAAGCAGACAAGGACTAAAAATGAATGCAACATTGTCTCCTGTTGATTTTTTTTTTTTTTTAGATAGAGTGAAGATCAGGTAGCCTGAAGATTAGGAGTGATGGAAATATTTTGCATGCTCACCAATTTTGTTTGCCATAGGAAAGTGACAAGTAGAATGAGAAAAAAATAGTATCCCACTTCTCTAGATAAATGTAGCTGTCAGTGTTGCCGGCTTGCCCTATCATAGATTCCACAAAGAGAGAGTAATGATGACATGTCCACAATTCCAAGACTTATGTGCTTGCCTCTGACATAGAACAGAATAGAATACTTTATTTGACCAAGTGTGATTAGACACACAAAAAATTTGTCTCCGATGCACAGACAAGTACATCAGGATACATGTACAAAAAGCTGGATTAGTGTTGTAATGTTGCCACATGCATTTTGCTATTTTTTCATTGCTGAAGTTTGTACCACACACCTATATGTCATATGTAAACTGAAAGCTCTGAGGCAGATATTCTACCTGGGAACTTAGCCAAACCTTTTAATATGCCTGTGTGTACAATGTGAATAAACACACAGAACATCTCTTTAGTGTATTTGCCTTTTGGTCTCTAAGACAGCTTCAGTTGTTTTGCATCAGTATAGGGAATAGGAACTACAATGGAAGTTCAGTTCTTGCAACCTCTGGCAAATTACCAATATTATGCCTAGAAGCCGCTTTCATTGAGAAAATGTGCTTTAAAACAGAACTGAGCTGGAGTGATGACATTTCATCGACTCCTCTGCTTGCTGCAAATAGCACATTTCATTGAAAATCATTTGTCGAGGGCAGAAAAGTTCTCAACACACAGCTCTACTCAATACCCAACTGTACCTCCACTCCTAGGGAAATGTTTTTCACCCTCCAAAAATGATCAGTGCCATATTGTTTCTTGCGTTTCAGAATAACACAGTACCAGGGAGGCAATTAGCTACAAGCTCAAAGCTTCAGCAGTGTTAGCACCGTAGCACTTTTCATAAGGTAAATCGGTTTACAGAGGCTGGGGAACATTCCTTTCTTCTCTCTCTTCCCCCACATAATATTATCACCTGGAAATGTGAAATCTGGGATATTTCTTCTGAACAAAGATACTTAATTGAAACCATAAATCACAGCTTCTTACCTGTGTACCAACTGTTTGCGGCTTACACAAGTGGCTGTCTCGTAGTCATGAGTGACACATACTTTGTGAGGGCTGCACTTTACCTTCAAACATGGGTCTTTAGATGGGTCAAGGGCTATTAGAAACAAGATACAAAGAAGTTGTTTAGAAGATTACTCCTTTGTTCATTAGTCAAAATACTAAGTTAAGAATCAAAACCACTTCTCAGTTATTTTTGAAATGCTGTAAAATGTTTAATCCATTTGACCTCAAAACTCTGTGCAATGAATGATATTCAGCTATTGTCAGCTGATCAAGGTCATCCAATGAACTTTCAAACTAATTACTTAGGACTTTAAGCTAGCCCTCTGCTTTATATTATGTCTTCAAGTTAGATTTTACTCCTGGCAACCTCCCAGGCAAGTCTCTGTGAGGGTTTTTTTTTTTTTTTGGCAAAAAGCTTCAGAAGAGATTTACCACTGCATTCTTCCTATAGCTGAGAGAAAGTGGCTTGTCCAAAGTCATCCAACTGGTTTCATGCTCATGGCTAGAAGGCTAGAATGTAATTCTCTTGGTTTCTAGCCAATTACCTTTAGCCACTACACCAAACTTGCTCTCGGTTGTGGACTCTAGTAACTGCAATATCCTAACTACTGTCCTCCAACTATTACTCTTGAGGAACAACCATGTGTAACTATTGCCAACACATATGAAAGAATTAAGATTCAATGGTTATCTAGGTTGCAACTGACACGGACAAAGATGTATTAATTCTGCTGGCTAGATAGACGATGAAATATGTTACATTTTTAAAAAATAAGAAAATAGATTTGGCCTCTAATGTTATCACCATCCTCAGCCAAAATTGCAGGGAACATTTTATCAATCCCACTGCTCAATTTTCTAGGCTTCTGCATTCTAGAATTGCTTTTAACTAATTTTAATTAAGAAGAATGCTACATGGAACCTCTCAAGCCTGTCATAGAATACTGACCCACATATTTTTTTTCTATATCTGTTGAAGTAACAATTACATGACAAGGTATTAAATAATTACTATTGTGCAATGGAATATACAGCAATTCCTGAGCCCTGCGTGAAGTTTAGCAATTTTATGTTATTAAAATATATAATTTTACTCTATTGATCCAACATAACTCTTAAATGAACAAAAACATAACATCCCACTTTCATTTAGTGCTAGAATGACACACAAATCCCAGTGAGGAGTGGACATACAATCCTTATTGCAAATACACTTAAAAATTATCTTCATTTCCAAATAATCTTTGAAACTTTTGTATACATATGCTCATGAATGATACTGCATTAATTGATAAAATACAAATAATGACTTTTGTGTTTCAATAGTATTTTTACGGTACACTGTAGTAGTACATTGTTATAGGGTTGGCCTACTGTTTTAATTCTAGAGTAAGAAAAATAGCCACTGATTTGAATTTTTTTCCAATACGTGGTAATTAAAATATTGTCACATCTGAGACATATCATTTGGGGCTCCCAGCAACCCACTGATGTTTTGCTAATATTGTAATAGCAGGTTTAATACAAAATGGTTCATTTAGTTTATGCTACACCTTTAGGGTATAGAGTACCAACACAAACAAGAACAGAAGCATGTCAGCTGAAATGAAAGGATACACCTTCTTGAAATATGTATTTATTTTTTAAATGGATTAATGTCAAAGAATGACAATAGCACTTAGCCTTATATACCACTTCACAGTACTTTACAGCCCTCTCTAAGCGGTTTATAGAGTCAGCATATTGTGCCTAACAACCTGGATCCTCATTTTACCGACCTCGGAAGGATGGAAAGTTTGAGTCAACCTTGAGTCGGTGAGACTCAAACTGCTGGCAGTCAGCAGAATTAGCCTGCAATATGGCATTCTAACCTCCCATTTCATAGAACCCAACCTCGGTACAAATACAGATTTTAGTAAAGAAACAATGCCTACTTTGGGGATCTTACGTTAAGACTTACCTTTATGGAGAAGACAGTAACCCTGGGAAAGATGGGAAGAAATGGAATGGAATGGAATGGAACGGAACGGAACAGAACAGAACAGAACAGAACAGAACAGAATAGAACAGAGCTGGAAGGGACCTTGGAGGTCTTCTGAACTTGGTTACAGTGGTGATAGGGGCACTGTTGGAAGAGCTGAAGGACTAAGGGGCAAATTATGATGGAGAAAAGCTATCTATGCTAAGAGTTGACAATGACTTGATGGCACATAATCAATCAATTAATCAATCATTTACTAACCATCTAATATTTCATAACACAAAGTACCTTACATATTCAGATAATCTTCAACTTACAACCATTCATTCAGCAATCATTCAAAGTTACAAAAAAAGGAGACTTATGGACACTCCTTCAACACCATTGCAGTATCCCCCACATGATCAAATTCAGACATTTTACAATCTGCACATATTTATTTGATTTATTTATATATATCAAACCTATTAGCTGCCCATCTCCCTCTCAGAGTGTTTATAACAATTGCAGCATCCCAGAGTCATATGCTTACCATTTGTGACCTGCCCAGCCAGCTTCGAACAAGAAAAGTCGGGGAGGGGATAATCCAAGTTTGCTTAATGACTGTGTGATTCTCTTAACAACTGCAGTGATTTGCTAAATAATTGTGGCAATAAAGGTAATAAAACTAGACACGACTCACTTAACTATATTGCTTAGGAATGGACATTCTTATCCAGATTGTGGTTGTTAAGTTGAGGACTGTCTGTGTTGAATAGAGATTTGAGCTTAGTCCAATTCTGCTGCTTAGACATTGAAACCGAACTTTCTGTAAGATTTCCTTCTTTTCATTCAGGAAGGGAAAATTTAGAGCAGACTGTGGCAGACTGCAAATCTACAAACCAAACACCGCTTTCCCAGAATCTTGTTGCATCTACAAAGGGCAGTAACATAATCCCAGGAAAAGATGCAATTGCTTAAAGAAGTTACACTTTGGTGCCATGAATGTCTGTGCACACGCCAAAGCAACTTGTGTTCTTTTAATCCAAATGTCACACAGATCAAGTGATATCAAGGATTATCTGGAAGATGTGGACATTCAGAGGTCCCTTTCAGCTAAATATTCGATTTGTAGCCATTGGTTGAGCATGTACCAATGTCAGCCAGAAGGTAGCACTATTTTCCTTATGATGAGTTAAATGGATTCCAGTAGGATGAACTAATAAAAAGGATAACCTGGTGGCCAGCTAAATCGTAATGCAACAACTAATCCAGATTGGGTAGGTTAAACCACACCATTTTATATACATCAAGATAATCTGGTCTTTCAAATCAGGTATTATATGTAGCTTAATAGCTGGATCGACATAGTAACAAGTCCTAAAATTTGCAATACACAAATGCTCAAATTATCATTTAGACTAAATTCCTGTTTACTAACATTGGAAGTCAACTCAGAGGCCTAATAAACAAGAATAAACAAGGGAACTTTAATTTATGTATTTAATCATAAATAATTTCTATACTAATTCCATACCCCTTAGCAGCAGCAAAAAACAGCATTTAGAGGGTAAGCTGCTCTCATGTGCAGTATAATACCACTGAAATGGTAAGATGAAATTTCTTAAAAATCAGCTAGCTCAACCTGCTGTATACCAGATGTGTTAGTTTTCTTGGTCTGGAATTCTGGGAGTTGTAGTCCCAACACATATGGAGGATAACAGACTGGGGAAATTTGAGTTAACATAATTGAACTACAGATTCATTTAATTCATTAGTCTACAATTGGGAATCACTATTAAATTGTACACATCGCCAAATCTGGCAGTTTTGTGTTTTAAAACATTTGCATTATTTAAGCAAAGTGCATTCAATTCCATTTTTCAAATCATCTACAAGTTTTTAATGTATGCATTTTACACTATTATACATCATAAAACTTAGGGAGTTGTTAAAATTGATGCATTGCTGTATTCTGATCTGTATATTAGTGTAGCAAGTAATAATAAAAAATGCATATGAAAGCCATTCAAATATTGTTAAATCTCATTAGTGTCCTCTACATTCTAAATGAAGACACTTAACAATAATAAAACAAGAGGAAGGAAGGCCAGTGAACACTATTCCAGAAGACTTTTTCAACTAGACTTTTCCCTCTATACATTTTAGGTCTACTGACAAGAATTTGGCAGTGATTCACAGACACTGGGTTAAACAGATTCTAGGATCATACTTGGGTTAAGGATGGCAGGGTCCTTAGTGCTCTCTGACCTTGATTGTTATCTTGCAGACATTTCATTACCAAACTAGATAACTTCATTAGTAGCGAGCATGAAGGATCCCACAGTTCAACTCTGAGCTACAAATATTCTCTTTTATCAGCCAGTTAAGGATCTCAGAGATGCAACACAGCACATGAAGATAACAAATTTCACTCCATGCTAGGATGAAGCCAGTTCAGGCAGTTGATGGTCCTCTGTCAGTAGGAAAATGGAGCCACTTCTTATACCCACTACAGTTTAATTCTGACACTTTTCCTCCTCTGCTCTTCCCATGACTTAATGGAGTTTTTCTTGCAGTTCTGAGCCCTGAAGCTGGGCAGTTATTGGTTGTTGACATAAAAGCCTACCCTGACAAACTCTGGCTTTCACAATATAACTCCACAGGATCAACTTCCTGTGGGATGTATGGAACAATGTTGCCATTGCTGTTTTTATTTATGATTGCTGCTATTGCTTGTAAAATGTTTTGACTGACAATGGAATATAAATAATTATAAAATCACCATAGCCTTTAATCTACCATTATTGGCATATGTAATAATAATGAAGAGAAGAGTCCTTAAATGCCTGGTTGCTTAATTAGTGGTTTCCAGAACTTAAAAGACTACATATCTTTTTCTTCAGCACTCTGTTTCAATCAACATATAACATATATCCATATAACTTTGATAAATACCCAAGCCCTTTTTGTCATTTATCTCTAATATCTGGACTCTCCACTATTTAGTGTCAGAGTATATTATTGGCAAATAGTTTCCATTCAGCTGTTTAACTAATAAGTAACAAGACTATGTCTCCATAGATACTGGAGGCACTGAACATTTCTGTCAATTGCAGGCTGGTTGGTAC